ACTTATCTATTTACAGTCTAGTTTAAGCACACCTAAACCATGTTCATAAATATGTAAAGACAGGTACAGAGCATTATGTACATATATTTCTAGGAGAGCAGACTTGTACAATCTGTACATTCTTTTCCATTTGCATTTTGTGATTTACACCAAGTACAACAATGACAACAATTTATATTCCACAAAGTCACTGTATACATGTGGAAACAGGCATAAAAAGAGAGGTTTTCTTGGATCTCTATGGTAACTGTTATTCAATCTTGAAGTATTATAATGTGAGGCACCAAAAGTTACATATGTCTCTATGGGGTAGGACAATAGAACCATTACTAAGTGAAGTCAAAGAAACTTATTTTTTTTTTCCATTTCATGCATCCTGCTGTGTTACAATATATACAACTTATTTATTTGACTGCGTACTAAAGTTCAGTGGTGTACGTTTGTTGAAGTGTGTTTGCCTGATGATGGCCACTAGTGGCCGAAACATGTAGCAGAACTATATCTGGGCATTGTCCTTGAAGTTCTCTTATTGTTGTGTTGTGATGGTCAAATAAATAAGTTGTATATAAAGAAACTTAAATCTAACACCAGCATGCAGCATAGTAACATCACTGTAAAATATCTGAGAAAAAAACTGTTACTGTATATATGGTATTATAAAATATGCCAGCAATTTTATTGATAAAATGACCACTGGGGGGAGAAGGAAACTAAATTAAAAAAATAGAAATACAACAGATATTAATGCCAAAATTTAAGTATTTTAAAAAATAAATTATTACTTTATCCAGAATACTCTAGGATGATCAGTAAAAAGAGTTCTTAAGCTTGTAAGCAAATTTTCTGGCTGACTTCCCTGAGTAAACGGGCTGCCTCCTCCTGAAAAAAAATCCTGGCAACAACTATGTCCTCAAAAACAAAACAGAATTTGCTTCAAGCCCATTTCTTGTACTGCAATTCATATATCTGCAGGGATGAGCCAAGATGAAAAGTTTTAATTTAAAATTCTCTGCACAGGTCCCTTCCAACAAAAATCAAAACTGTTATTTTAAAGTGACACCACATTTTTAGTTGACATTGTAAAAATCAATCAGATTTGATGTTTTCACAGCAGGAAAGATTCAGTTTACGGTCTTCTGGACAAGTAGTCTAGTAGATGATTACCAACACTTGTGAGGACAAGCTGTATTCATCTTCAGGGTGACGGAGACAGTACATTCCTCCAAAATGTGTGAAATCATCAACCAGATTTTACAGCGTCATAACCCAGAAGAACAGTAAAACTTTACATAATCAACCCTTTTGGGGTGGGAGGGACCCTGAGGAAGAATAGAAACTGCTGTATTGGTCCCATAAATCCTGCATGTAATAATACAAGGGGGTACCAAAAAGAAACCGAACTTATTTTTTTTAAACTTATTTATTCAAATTTTAAGCACAAACCTTCAATCCCCTTCAAAGTACTCTCCACTTACACTAATACACTTGTCTAGTCTTTTATTCCATTTTTCAAAACATTGTCTAAATTCATCTTTTGAGATGCTTGACAGCGCCTCTGTCGTTTTTTCCTTTCATGTCTCTTTTCAGTCGAGGAAACAAAAAAAAGTCACACAGGGCAAGGTCAGGTGAGTATGGAGGGTGAGGAACAGGGGTCATACCATTTTTGGTCAAGAATTGTCGTACAGACAGGGCTGTGTGAGCAGGGGCATTGTCATGATGGAAAAACCAGTCACCCGACTGCCACAAATCTGGCCGCTGAGCTCCAAGTCACTCCCGACAGCTCCACAATTTCTTCAATGGTCCGTCGTCGATCTTCCTTGATGATTTCATGAATTTTTTCAACATTTTCATGTGTTTGGGCCGTGGAAGGACGACCAGAACGAGGTTTGTCATCAATTGACATTTCACCATTTTTGAAACGGGAAAACCACTCAAACACTTGAGTTTTCCCCATAGTATTGTCCTTGTACGCCATTTTTAACATTTGAAGAGTTTCTGCTCCACTTTTCCTGAGCAAAAAGCAGAATTTCACCGCCGCACGCTGTTCACGAAAATCAGCCATTGCAAAAACGACGATCACACAAAACAGTTGTCACTATAAACTCTGCTGAAACTAGTCCTTACCTTCTGAAGCAACAGTAGTCGGCTTATCGACTCAGGAATGTTAGCTCTATGAGCTCATAGCGGCAAAACGCAGCACTACAAAAGCTCTGCCCACAAAAAGATTAGTTCGGTTTCTTCTGGGTACCCCATCGTACTTCCCCCTCAGTTAACAGAAATATGCTCCTTCATATATTTATATAGGACTTTACAGAAGTGACAATGATTGCCTTAAAGAAAAAGACAAAACTACAAAATGCAGTGACCATCGCACAATAAGCCTTATTGCATATACAGCAAAGAGAATAGCAAAGATACTTAAAAGAAGATTTGAAAGGAAAATAGAGGATATACTTGGAGTGGATCAGTTTGGATTTAGAAGAGGAAAAGGAACCAGGGATGCAATTGGGATGATGAGAATTATAGCAGAACGAACTTTGGAGATAGATGAAGAACTGTGTGTTTGCTTCATAGACTGGCAGAAGGCATTTGACTGTGTANAGGTATCGATTGGCGGGAAAGAAGATTGATTAGTAAATTGTACATGGATCAGAAAGTTAGAGTGCGACTGGACAGAGGGGAGACAAGAAGTGTGAAGACTGGAAGAGGAGTTCGACAAGGATGCTGTTTATTACCAAATTTGTTCAACTTGTACAGTGAATGCCTTACCAAGGAAGCTCTGGATGGGCTTGGAGACTTCAATTTAGGAGGGCAAATTATTCAAACTGTGAAATATGCAGATGACCTTGTGTTAATGGCTAAGGAAGAAACTGTGCTACAGGG